TTTGTCTACATCATTGCTTGTCTAAGGAGATAATTTTAATTTAATCTTAGCTACTAGAAGGCTTCATGTTATACTAATTATACTCCATGATTCACCACTTAGGGGATCGAGCCATTGAGGGATATTCAAGGTTTGTCCTTGACATTATTAATCGTGCATTTTGATGTCAAACTATTCGGTTAGAGGGCCTCATTTATGATCATTTTTAGGGTGCTATTTTATGGCGAAATCTCTAGTTCTTATGACATACTACATCCTGATTAGTATGAACCTTTTGAGAGAAACCATTGAGGTATGCTTAATATGACGTTGGCTCTTTATGAGCTGAGATAATCTTAAATCTATCATTCTCGGCAAAAGGTTTCTAAGGATGGATAGATTGGATGCTTTAAGCTGCTGTTATTATTCGAATATTTTAAATTTTGTACTTTTGTTTTTTTTAATTTTTTGTATTTTTATCGAGGTTTTAGCCCGAAGTGGAAAGTAATGGTTCTTCTGCATCTTGACATGGAATTTATCTTGCATGAAATTGTTATACAGGTACTCGGTGACCTTGTTGAATCATATATTGGTGCTATGCTTCTTGACACAGGATTCAACTTGAGAGAAGTTTGGAAAGTAATGGTGAGGCTGTTAGAACCTATATTGAGGTTTAATTGCCTCAGCATTAATCCTGTCAGGGAACTTCGAGAGCTTTGTCAACACAAAAATTTTGACCTGAGACTGCCACCTCCAGTAAAAGAAGTAGGAGGATTATACTTGGTCAAAGTAGAAATTGATATTGGAGATGAGCACTTAACCAGCACTGCAATCAATCACAACTCCAAAGCTGGCAGAAGGGTGGCTGCTCAAACAGCACTTGCTAAGCTGAAGGTAGACTTACATGAGCATTTGAGTTAGACTTTGTGCATCTTCTCTTGTATGAATTGCAATGTGGATTGAATTTAATTTTTTTTTTAATTGATCTTGTAGGATCTTGGTTATAAGCACAAACACAAGTCACTAGAAGAAATTTTGAGGTCAACTCATAAAAAGGAGCCAGAACTGATAGGATTCAATGAAGATCCCTTAGAAATAAGGAATTCAGATGGTGATACGATTTCACTGGAGAAATTAGTTGTCCAGGAGACCCAAAATGCAGCAGCTTTGTCGCTGGACAACAAGAGTGCTCTTGAGGAGCAACCCTCTCTTTTAGCTACAATGCTTCTAGCAAAGATTGATGGAACTCGTAGTCAGAACATAAGCCAGAATGAAAAAGATTTTATGCAATATGTTGGCAGTAAAAGAGCAACAGAAAGTGATGATCAGGGGAGTCGTGATGGTATGTGATTCTAATATTCAAAATGACTACCATTTTTATGCCTTGAAACAATCTGGTTGCTAGTCAATGTTCAAAACACCTGCAGTTTTCTTTAACCTTAACACTTTCATATTTTCTTTCTAGATATTGAAAGTAAAAAATCAGCCAAGTCACGGTTATTAGAAATCTGTGCTGCAAATTATTGGAGCCCCCCTTTGTTCAAATGCTGCAAAGAGGAAGGACCATGCCACTTAAAAGAGTAAGAGTGCGATGACACTGAAATTATCTTTATTGTAACCAAAAATCATAGTAACACATTAAAGAATGTAGCAATAAGAAAATTTTGAAAGTATGATATTGAAAATTAGCTCTCTGCCTTAAATAACCTTCTTGTTGTACCGATGCTTACCTCATAAATTGACCAGTGAATTATCTCATGCATAAGCATTTTGGCGCTACCATGATTTTCTGTCCTTCCTTGCTTTGTACAATATTACTACGGGAAATTATTGGGATCGGACAGCGCACGCCGTGCAAAGCCCAATGAAAATGTGCCATATCACCTCCTCGGTACCGAGCTTGGTATTGGTACCGAGCTTGTACTGCTCGGTACTGAGCTCGGTATTGGATAACGTAGCTGCACCTGATTCGTCTCTGGACGGGAAGCTGCGTGCGCTGTCCGAACCCAATAATTTCCCTATTACTACAACCAAAAAAGTAATATCTGGGTAAGCTTAACCTGGATGGGCAAGCATTCTTTCTCGAGTTTCTGCATTCATTGTATTTCATTAGTCTGAATGAAACTTGACTAGGATCAAGGAAGATTGCAGAACTTCTAGGTTTGAGAAGTTTATCCTTTTCTTTGTCGCTGACTCTAATTTCAAAAACAGGTTTACATTCAAGGTTACCATTCAAATCGAGGGAGTCACTTCTACAGTTCTGGAGTGTTTCAGTGAATCAATGCCACGGAAGAAAGCTGCAGAAGGGCAAGCTGCTGAAGGAGCCTTATGGTATCTTGAGCAGCTAGGATATATTCCAAAATCCTGATGGAATTGGTACCCCTCTCAAATTTTCATCTTTCTTTATATTTAACCTTGAAGAAGAGCCTGGTAAAACTACTTCGGACTACACTTAACTCTCTCTCTTAAATCCAAGCTTTGTTTCATTACATCATAAAGTTGATTTTGTTTGCCATTTTCTCTATTTATTCATCTGGTTTATCTTCATTACATTCTAGCTCGAAATCTGCTGCCGTTTGATTCATGGAAGACTTGCTAAAACTCGGCTCAAGTAATCAGCTTGACAGTGAATGCTTCTTTCAAGTCAACACTTCCCTTGGCCATAAATATTAAAGAAAGGGTAATTTGTAACATTCTTATCTCAATTGTATATTGATGATGATTAACTCAAATGAAGGGGCTTTATATTATAGCTTTTTTATTATTTTTCTTTTTTAATTGTAAATCAACAGGATTGTCTTTTACATGATGTATATTGTGATTGTGTAATAATTTTCACAAAATGTAAACTGAAGTTGCTATAGAAGAAATGTAGTTTTGGGGTGTTTTGCTTGTTCAATTTTTAATTACAAACTTGCATCCTCTGTTGATAGGAAAATTATTAGGTCCTGTCACCGGACCTATTTTTAGGTCCGGACATCCAATCAAAACTTGCTGTGGACTGCGCTTTGACTGTGCCCTTTGAATGTGCTTTTTTACTCCGCTTTACCTGTGCTTTTGACGTGCTTGACTTAAAATTCCGCAGACATGTGTACATTCGACGTGGCAAATTTTTAATGGATGTTTGGACCTAGAAATAGGTTCCGTGACCGGACCTAATAATTTTCCCTGTTGATCGTATCACATGAAGACAGGTTTGAGTTTAGGAGACTACTTAGGTTTTGTTTGGGATGACTTCTTACTACTGCTTAAAATATATTTTTAGTAAAAAAAATTTAATTTTTGTTTTAAAAAGTTGTTTTAAGAAGCAGTAAGAAAGTTGTCCCAAATGAAGTCTTAGTCTAAAACAAAAAATAATATGGTTAAGAGCTTTACCAAAAGATTTGTTTAATTTAATTGAAATAATAGTAAAAGGCCATAAAGTCGGGTTCCACATCATTGTGGCTGATAAAAGTTGAGTCAGAAATCGTCGAAAAGGTTTAAGTTTGCAACATTTTTTATTCCGTCGGTATTTCCCTCCCTTTATTTCACTTAAAATATTTTCAAAATGAAATGCCATACATTGTTAACATTTTCTTACAAGACCTTTACCGTTAGATGGAAAACTTTCGGAAAGTGAGACTTCCTATGATAAGTTTATAAACTATGGTAGAAATGTGAACCGAAAAAGGATAAATTTCTTATAGTGAAAAATTCCCCCCTACTCTCAATCCAACATAACTAAATAGTCAAAAATCATAAATTTATAATTTCTTAATGATTTTGATTTCTAATACATAAAATTTTATACAAACTTCTTTGTTGTTGACTTGTGTTAAGGAAATTAACATTGATGTTGCATTTTCAGTGACAGCTTAGACTAGCAGATACTCTTTAATCTCATTTATAACTCCATCAATTAGTTTGAAAATGTATTGTGCATCCTTCGCTTAATATGTTGCTTCAATAGACTTCAAAAAGCAATGCCATAGAGATTATTTATTAGAACATTGATCAAATTCCCTTAACTATTTTATGCTTTGCTCAGCTCATTCAGTGAGATATTGAGATAGATACACCAAAACATACAAGAGAGCATTGATAATTTTGTTTAAGTTGTTTTATCATAAATCAGTTACTCTATTTTAATGAATGATTAGAATAGCCAAAGCTTAACAAAAAAATTAATTTGTTGATGGTGAATGTAGCCATGAAATAGTCATAAGACAATCTCCAACTGAACTCCATACCACTATATGCCAACTGCCATTTGCTCCATTCGAACATCAAATCGCACGTCAAATTCCGGTAGGTGAACAATGCGACGCCAATATTATCGTCGGACTGTTCACCTACCCCAAAAAAATTCGCTGCAGGATTTATCGAATAAGCACGCGCAAGAGAAAAGCGTGTCAATAATGGTTACCTTCACAGGAAGCCCACGAAAGAAGAAGAAATGACGTTCAATTGGAGAAGACCGACTACATTTTGAAATTTTACTGTAATTTGGAGTGGAAAATGAGTTTTTCAGTTGGAGTGGCCCTAAGACCTGGAATTATACAGCAGCTTGAAGGACTGCCAACTCTTAAAAATTATCAAAAAAATTATTTAAAAGAATTTACTGCCATACACAGAAAAACCTTCTCAGGAACTGCCCATACATCAAAATTTGAAATGTTGCCTGTGATCTGATGTGAAGTGCCAGATCCAAACTATTTTCTTACACAGTTCTAACAAGTAAAATGTTTGTACTAATCATAAACCAAAATTACAAAATTTTATTTCCTATAAACATTCGTATTGAATATCAGTTGCAGGCTAACCTCAAGAGAAGACATGTAAGGATTCATTGTAAATCTGAACTCTACTTTGCAAATCATAGATAATCCTGAAGACTCGCAGATCTTCCATTTGGAATGTTCATCCACTTCAACTGCAGCTCAATTTCGCCGCACTCCACCTTCCTGAGCCTCAGAAACATGTCCTGTAAAACACTCCCATTCTCCAAGCGGATAACACTCTCCTCAGCTAGACAGTTTTGTCTGTTCGGCATCAATTTAGTTATGACACAGCCATCAGGGAGGCCTTCCAAGTTCATTTTAACTACTTCAAAAAGTGTTCGTATGTCGAACTCCGCCTTGCCCATCGGATCGTCGAAGCTGAATGTGTCCTTGTCATACACTTCCTGAATTAAAAAGTGTAGAGAATATGAGCTATGTTGTATTAACTTGTGCATTTGGTTATGTGAACTGTGTCAAGCCAGATTTATTATTCTATGCAGAGTCCGGAGGGCGTCCGGATATCAATAAAAATAAGCCACGTCACTCCAAGAATGTACCGCGCTTGGTACCCGTGCTCGATACAGCTCGGTACCAAGCGCTTAACCAGCGCTTAACCGGACGGTTTTACCGTCTGGTGTCCGCACAAAATAATAGCTCATCAAGACAAGATGTTCATGGAAAACTAAGGAGAGCAGTAAAATGTGTTAGAAAATATCATACATAGGCGAGTTGTTCAAAAATATATGCATTGGGTTGTTATAGGTCCACATAAGATAATCAGTGCTGTTGGACCTTAATCTCAAGTGACTAGTATTTACTCATTAGCTTAAGCTTCTAGGATCAGTAGGTGTGTCCATAAAACTCTGAACCAGTGTTATATTACCCAACAAAATGAAATGGAGACATTAGACAATTAGAGAATACTGTTCTAAAAATTATTTGCAGGAGGTTCAAAAACCTTTTACAATGGATATGATTGCAAATTAAAAGTGTGTACCGTTAAGGTTTTTCCATGAATCATTTAGAAAAGGAGATGATTTTGAAAATTGGACATTGCACAAGAAAAAAAAATATATAAATAACTTAACCAAATGTACTGCATATATTCTTCAAAATTCTAAATAAGTTTTCCTACATTTTTATTGTGCGAAAATGAAATACAGAATCAGAAAATCAGCACTTAAACAACTTCACGCATGTAGAGTTCAAAAATTAGATTGGTACACAAAAATGTTTAATGACGTTATTACTTAAACAAAATGAAAGATAAATGAGATAGGAGACACTTACCAACTTGATTGGAAGAGAGGGATTTTCTACAGTAAGTGTCAATTCTTCATTCCATTCTGGATTCACACTTCTCGATATTACTCGAGTCTTTAGCTTCTGCAGACATAAGAAATAAATGGTTCAAATTTAATAAGGATGACCTCATGGCACATAAATGGCAGGAAGCATTTAATCAACAGAAAATACAATTTTAACATGTAATTTCTGGAGCATAAACTGTCTACTACAAGGAATTCTAAATGAAAATGCTTTATTTATCCTTCAAACCAATATTTCCTAAATTAGTTTCTAACATTGCACACGACTCAAATCAATAAACAGTGAGTAAACACTAACAAAATAGAGAGATTCTTACATGCGGAGTCTGAACACAGAATCATTCGGTTTAGTGACTGTGAACAATAAAAGCGGAGTGGTAAACAATTTATAGTTCAGAGTCACAAAACCGAACAGTTCTCCGTGTCCGGACTCCGCACATAATAATTTCACGAGAAAATGATAGCTAGATTTCACATTCATACCATGTCAAAGTTACACTTCTCATTAGCTTTGAAGAAAACCAAAAACTTATACATTAGTTTGTGGATAAGAAATCTCCAGAATACATAAAATTTGTGATGCTTATATCGAGGGAATGATATCAAACTGGAGATTAGGGCTTTGAATAATGAAAATAGCTTTTCTAGTTTGGAGGGAAAAGGTTGTCTGAATCAAACCTACCCTGACCGCACAGAACAAGAGCCTTGTGCACTAGGCATGCTCCCTATTCCAAAGGAAAGACTCTCGGGAAGAAAACATAAATTACTCCTTCCTTGTGAAAGATAATTTTTTCAATATTTCAAGGGTTATTTCTTAATAAAGCTAGACTCCATTGAATGGTTTTCTCGAACTACAAAAGTTCCCAAATGATAGAAGATCAGAGAAAATGATATGATGAAAGGAGAATGATTAACTGGATTTTTAACAGTGAATGCAAGCAGATCCTTTCCAACAAATGAAATACTGAAATAGCAGACAAAATTGCAATGAAACAAACTAAATGATTTATAAATTTTTAAATAAGAATCGAAGCCCAAATTCTCCTCACTAGAAATAGCCATCAACATAGCTTAACTAATTAGTATAGATTGCTTAATCAGGTACTGACTGAACTACAAAACCTAAATTTAATCCCAACTTCCAATCAGTAATCTCCCTCACTTCCTGCATAGAAAATCATTAAAAGCTCAAAAAAGCACCCAATTCGCTTACAGAAAGATCCCTTTCCATAAACCAAACTACATTTCCCCATTTCGCATCAACCTCTCATGAAGCCAACATTTTTCTCCCCTAACCCTAGCCAACCCATCACTCCAAAACGAAACAAGACAAATGCTTTCGTAGAAATTAACGAAGGAGAGAAGAAGTTGACCTGCTTCCCCATGCGAAGAATAACGTAGGGATCGCTGCTTTGGAGAAAGTCGCGCACGGCGAGGTCTACACCTCTCAAAACCCGCACCTTTAGAATCCCTAGAAGACGATCCACCATTTTGTTTGTCCACCTCAGTTTCCTTTCTGCTCTTTAATCGTCTGCCGCTTCTTTTATGCTTAGAATGAGCAGTTGGGGGTTGAATGGGTACCAGTGAAGAGAGAAAAACTGCGTCTTGGCCATGAGAAGACAAAAACAAGAGTACAAATAGAGCACTCCAATGCAATGCTGCTGCTCTGCTACTCCTTCGTCTCTTTGCGTGTCTTTTTTTTTTTTCAATTTTTTTTTTCCTCTCTGCATAAAAGAAGATTTTAAAATTGTGTTATCGTGCCTTCACCAAGTTGTATCAACACCAGAATGCAAACATATTTGTTGCGTCGTGGAATATTCGCAATGGTAGAGAAATATAAAGTTTAACGTCTTGATTTTGCACGAATATCCAACACACAATTAGATAAAAAGAGAGGGTGTAGTATTCATAAGAGATACCAAGATTTTTACGTAAAAAACTCTAAAAAAGGAAATCCCATGAGCCTAACCCAGTTTGAATGAATCCACTAGTATTTGTAATTTATTACAAATGAGGGCCTTCATTTGAGGGAAGGTCTTAGCTTGATGTAACAAATATATATCATATAGAATGCATTACAGGGTGAAATTGGAAGAATTAGTATTGATATGTTCATTTAGACGGCAGAACCATAGTCGGAAGGCGATGGAGGTCAAAAAGACCTTATTCGGGTGATGGTGGTCAGAAGGACCATAATTGACGAACGAAGGAGGTCGGAAGGACCGTAGTCAACAGGTGATAGAGGTCGGAAAGATCATTATCTGGCGAAAGAGGTCGGAATGACCGTTATTTGACAATAGAGGTCTGAAGGACCATAATCATCATGTGATGAAGGCCGAAAAGACAGTTGTCTAGCGATGGAGGTCAGAAGGCCACAGTCGTTGGCCGGGTGGAAGTCCATCGTCAGTCGATGGTTGATCAGAAGTCTATTGTCAGTTGGTGGTCGGGCAGAAGTCGGGTGTCAATTGATTGTCGTGTGGAAGTCCGACGTCAGTTGGTGGCCGAGAAGAAATTTGAAATCAGTTGGTGGCCGGGTAGAAGTCCAGCATTAGTTGGTGGTCTGGAGAAGTCCAGCGTCAGTCAGTTGTCGAGTGGAAGTCCAATGTCATATGGTGGACGTAAAGAAGTCTAGCATCAGTTGGTGGCCAAGTAGAAGTTCAGCATCAGTTGGTAGCTGGGCAGAAGTCTATCGTTTGTTGGTGGCCGGGCAGAAGTCCAGCATTAGTTGGCGGGCAGATGTAAGTTCGGCATCAGTCGGTGGCGTGGCGAAAGTTCAATAACAATCAATGGCCGGGATGTGGTCGAGGAGAAGCTTGGTGGCAAGAGAAATATTTTATTTCTTGTTCTCTCCTCTCTCTTCTTTCCGTCCTTGTTTGGCCCCCTTTCTATGATGGATGATGGATCTATTTATAATTTTTTGAGAGTGGCATGGACAGTAAATAAGGAGAACATCATGGGCATGTTTGGAGTGATTTGAATGGACGGCCAACATCGATTCTTTTGATTTTGAACCGTTTATAGATTCTTTGAGTGCCTTAGTGATATCAGAATTCAATGATCTTGGGCTCGTTGGATTCAACTTGTCAAGCCGCTCAATTCGACTATAAGCATGCCACGTTTGGTAATCAAAATTATCATTTGAACCTTCCAAAGATGCTTTGAGTCTTTGATTTGGACATATTAAGGCTCGAATTGAATCAAATTTGGCGTCATTGGGTTCGTCTTTTTGAGACGTTAAGTTCAACTATAAGTTTGCTAAAATCAGATGGGTCAAGATTCAATTTTAGAAGTTTCTAATTTGATTTTGCCTCGAGATTCATGATAATTTTTTTATGAACTTCTTCTTATTCACTGGTCATGCCACTTTCATAAAATTATAAATAGACCCATCATCTCTCATGGAAAGGGGGATAAGCAAGGAGGGAAAGAAGAGAGAGGAGAGGAAGAGAAATTAAATATTTCTATTGTCATAAAGCTCCTCCTTGACCACCTCCCAGCCATGAACAATCGTTGAACTGAAGCTGAACTTTTGCCCGACTACTGATTGACACCGGACTTACACCTGGAAGCCAATTGATGCTGGGCTTCTACTCGGCCACCAACTGATGCTGGACTTTTACCCGGCCACCAACTGACGTTGGACTTTTACCCGGCCACCAACTGACATCAGACTTTCACACAGCAACCGACTGACGCCTGACTTATACCTGACAACCGACTGACGTTGGACTTATGTAGTGCCACTCACTGACGCTGGACTTCCACTCAGCCACCGACTACAGTCCTTCCGACCTTCGTCACCAAACAACTGTCTTTCTGACCTTCATCACCAGCAATGTGGTCCTTCCAACCTCCATTGCTAGATAATGGCTCTTCTGACCTCTTTCGCCATATTACAATTTTTTGACCTCTGTTGACAGTTGAATACGGTCCTTCCGACCTTCATTGTCCATCGACTACGGTCCTTCCGAGCATCTTCACCCGAATACGATCTTTTCTGACCTCTGTCATCAGCTAAATATGGTCTTCCAGGCCAAACGAACATATCAATAATAGTTCTTCCAATTTCCACTATGTAATGCATTCTATAGGATGTATATTTGTTACATCAAGCAAAGGCCTTCTCTTAAATGAAGGGCCTCATTTGTAATCAACTGGAAATATTAGTAGATTCATTTTAACTGAGCTAAGCCCCATGATTTTTCCCCTTTTCAAGATTTTTCATGTAAAAATCTTGGTGTCTCATATAAATAATACACCCTCTCTTTTTATTTGATTGTGTGTTGGATCTCCGTACAATACTAAGACGTTAAACTTTATATTTTTCTACCACAGTAAATATTCCAGGACGCAACAATATTGTATAATGATATATATATATATATATATATATATATATATCATAACACATGTTATATTCATCAAGCGATATGAGGAAATATTGCGTAACTATTCAATGATGCCTTTGATGCCCAATTGTACAAAAATAGAGTATGTTGATTTGAAATAAATTTTCAAGATTATTTCTTCAAGGAACCAAACATTAGACATATTTCCTCGATTATGAATATAATGAGATATAAAATCAAAATTGTTTATTTTTTAATTATAACTCTTTTTATAACATTAAATTGCTATTTAGACCATCCGCAACCAAACGGTAAACAATTGTATGACGTCCGCCAAACGATCCAATCGAAAGCAAAATTGTTCGTTAATATCTGGGAGTGAATAGTGCGATGCCACGAAAAAAATGGCTTACGAGGTTTTCGATCGAAAAAAGCGCGTGAAAGATGAGAAATACGGTTCCTTTGCAGCGAGATGAAGAAGCGTACGAAAAAGGAGACGAAATGAAGTTCGATTGGACAGTCAGGCTAAAATATATTTATTATTATATAATTTTATTTAATTTATATAATTGTTATATTTTTTCTTTTAAAATATAATATTATAATTTTATATTCAATACATGTCTTGTTCATATTTTCAATAATAGGTGTGCATCAGATTTTGCAATATAACTTAAATTATTTATTACATATTCGGTTTTCTTTTAAAATATAATATTATAATTTTGCAATATTGATTTGTTATTTTTGATAATTAAAGAACTGCAAATCTATTGCATAAAATTGTAATAAAATATAAGGAAAACGATATCTTAAATAATTTTTTTTGCAATGAACTTTTTTTCTCTCCACATAAAAAAAAATTAAAAAATTGTGTTATCGTGCCTTCACCGAGTAGCATTAAATAATTTAAATTAGTCTAATGGACGACATTACAAAATAATCCTTGAAATTTTTGTTCTCTCCACGCAGATTCAAAATGTTAGAAGTTTTGCAAGATAACGGATCGTCACGCTAATATATTATAAGATTGAGAAACGCCGGCCTGCGCAGTTGAGAAAAATGAAAATATAATATTGCATATAAAACTTGATACGTTGTCAAAAAAATTATGCAACAATCTCAATGTAAAATCAAGTTGGAAACTTCTGAAATTAAAATTGGGACCATCCAAACTCCGATTTCAGCAAACTTATAGTCAAACTGAGTGTCGAGAATACGAACCCAATAACACCAAATCCAACTTAATTCGAGCCCAAACGGGTCCAAATCAATGGTTAGAAGCACTATTGGAAGGTTTGAACCACAATTTGGATTACCAATGGTTTCCAAACATAATGTGCTTATAGTCAAATCGAGCGGCTCGATGAGACAAATCCAACGAGCCCAATATCACCAAATTTCGACATTACTAAGGCATTCAAATGTCCATCAAACAGTCCTTAATCAAAGGATACAACATCGGCCGTCCATCCAACCACTCCTCATTTACCCTTGATCTCTCATCTATTTAAGGGTCATGACACTCCAAAAATCTATAAATAAACTCCTCTTTTCTCTTGAATGGGAAAACCAAGCTAAATAATTCAAAAGAGAGATCAGAGATCGCTCTTGCCTTATTGCTCCTCAACCACCGCCTAAGTTTCGCCGGACCACCACTTGAGTCCTAACCCTCGCCGTACCACCACTTGAGGCCCTCACCCTTGCCTGACCACCACTTGAGCCCCTCACATTTGTCAGACCACCACTTAAGGCCCTAACCTTCGCTAGACCGCCATTTGAGGCCCTCACCTTTGCCAGACCACCACTTGAGGCCCTCACCCTCGCGAGACCATCATTTAAGGCAATCGCCTTCGTCGGACCACCACTTGAGGCTCTCACCTTCGCTAGACCACCACTTGAGGCCCTCACCCTCGCCGGACCACCACTTGAGGCTCTCATCTTCGCTGGACCACCACTTGAAGCCCTCACACTTGTCGAACCACCACTTGAGGCCCTCACCTTCGCTGAACCATCACTTGAGGCCCTCACCCTCACCGGACCACCACTTAAGGCCCTCACCCTCGTCGGACCACCACTTGAGGCCCTCACCCTGATCGGCCCACCACTTAAGGCCCTCACTTTTGTCGAACCACCAGTTGATGTCCTCACCCTCGCTGGACCACCACTTGAGGCCCTCACCCTCACCAGACTACCACTTGAGGCTCTGAGCTCCATCAGATCACTTCCTGAGGCCCGGAGTTCCACCGGACCACCGATTGACATCGTTGCTTCTTCAGACCACCACCTAAGGGCCAGAACTTCGTC